CCGTAACTCTTCTTTTTTCAAGAGAAAACAATTTGAGAGATTTCAGCCTCTCGTATGACAACCCCTCCATCCCAGACACCATTCTAGTAACCCTTCTCTGAACTCTTTCCAACAATTCAATGTCCTCCCTAAGGTAAGGAGCCTACGAATGATCGCAATACTCCAAATATGGCCTAACCAGTGACCTATACAATGAAATTCTAGCCTCTTTAGACTTGTATTCAACATATCTGTAGATACAACCTAAAATCCTATTTGCCCTACCACTAGCAACAACACACTGCTTGGATGGCTTAAGAAACTGATCAATTATCACACCAAGATCCCTTTCTTTCATGATACTATTAAGGTTATTCACATCCAAATTATACTTATAATTCAAATTATGATAACCCACATGCGTTATCTTGAAGTTATTATAATTACAACCCACTTGCCATTGATTTGCCTAACTTACTAAATGATCTAAATCATTTTGTAAATCAGCAGCCTTAATATAATCTGCAAATCTAAGTAATTTATTTATCATTCCTTCATCTAGTAACTTCACGCTAGGCCTATAATTAGGCTTAACTCTTTGATAGGTTGTTTAGGTAGAGTATTCATATTGAATCTAAGTTTTAAATGGATAGCAACTGCCTGTTGTAGAAATTTACAAATGTAGAGGACGATGTTTCGAAAGTCTTCCGCCTGGATCTGAAGACGAAAGGCGGAAGACTTTCCAAACGTCGTCCTCGACATTTGTAGGTTTCTACAACAGGCAGTTGCTGTCCATTCGAAACTTATATTCATTAGACTTAACTCACTTTAGACCTATCATTAGGTTTAATACATTATAGACCAATCGTTAGGCTTAACTCACGTTAGATCTATCATTAGACTTAACTCACTTTAGACCTATCATTAGGTTTAATACATTATAGACCAATCGTTAGGCTTAACTCACGTTAGATCTATCATTAGGCTTAATTCACGTTAGGTTTATTATATGTATACTCATGCAAAATTCAGAAAAAATGGACGATTCTCAATGAAGCATATTTTATTTTGTTTATGATAAAATGTTCCGGCTCTTATAATTACACGAAATTTAAGGTATAACTTATTTGTATTAACTTATACTATGACTAAAATGGCGCTTGAACGTTGTTCAGATTTTTTTTAATGTTACAATAACCTTTAAATATCTAACCTTTAAAGGTTTCTTTACTTATAAATTATTTTATTTGGAAGAGTGAAATCACAGAACAATGCGTTTTACTTGTATTTTTGGTCTGATCTACACACACACACACACACACACATATATATAGTTGCTATAAAATTCCAAAATTCACACATTCAATCAGAAATGATTATTTTTATTTTGTGTAACGCAAACTGGAGTTTATGACGAGACATTTCTATTTGGGTAAATAAAATGACGAAACAGTACTAACGGAATACTGAGCTAATAAATATACGTCCTGGAGATATAGGTTATTTTGTTTACCTTAATAAAAATAGATCGGAAATAAATTTTTACAACTGGTTTATTTTTGTTATCACCGTCGAAAAAGTTTATAGCAATCAAATAAACTATAACCAGGCCTATAAAAAATATCATTTTTATGAAACAAATTCGAATATGAAATATTAACTTTTTGTTGCTGTCAAATTGACATAACTCTAGTCACGCCACCTACAGTTTTTATTATTACTGAAATTACCTGCATTTGTTCAATGGCTTGAAGCAATTTACTCCGGAAGTGCAGAACAGAAGAACTTTGTGGCTTTTCCATGTCTTGTCGTAGTGTTTTGATGTCTTCCCATGTACAGGCAACCTGGTGGTGATATAGGAAACCTTCTTTAGACGGGAATCATTAGGCCATGTTATGATGGAGAAACTGTACACGAACAAAGAGACACGCAGTCTTTTGTCTCAACCACGCAAACATACACTTACATACGAACATAAAAAATAAAAAAATTACTTTGTTGCGATAACGTTTAAATTGCTCGTCAACTCCTTCGTTTCACGATAGTTTCACAAGAACTTTGAGGATTTTGGACAAAACTTCAAAAAAATTTGACTGCTTTTTTTAAGGAGAATGCGACAGTTTCTGTCGGTTATACAAACAGTATGACATGCACAAAATAATGCTACGTCCAATGGTCAGACTAAGTTTGTTTGTAATTAAGCACAAAGCTACACAATGGGCTATCTGTGCTCTGCCCACCACGGGTATCGAAACCCGGATTCTAGCGTTGTAAGTCCGCAGACGTACCGCTGTGCCACTGGGGGGGGGAGGCTTTCGTTACAGTCATGATCAATTTGTAATCTCACGCTGACGTGTTAAATCTTTATACGTCCATCCACCTGTCACTCAAGTTATTACACGAATCGTATCTTGTATTACTTGGTTAACACTGACCTTCATCAACCAGTAAAAGTCTGTCTGCAGAGAAGATGGGTAACCCTCGTCCACTTCCACGACAGGAAGTAGTTCCTCTGTCGTTACAAGAACCTTATCTTCGTTGTAGAAGAGACAAGCCAGATGGACTCCCCTGGGAAGAGAAGAAGCAAACCGTAAAAAATGTTCGTAGTTCAATAAAACAAGTATTGTTAACGAACTTACCGACATATTCTTAAAAGTGTAAAAGCACGAAACATTCGACCTTAAAATATTACTCACCTGATTTTGTACTCGAGGAACGACAAGAATGTAGAAGGCTAGTACGTTATATTAAAATAAATTTGAATTTGAAAATCAGCAAGTCACGTAACAGAACTACATTTGGACATTTTCTGACGTTTCGTAGGAAGGATGATGCAACTGAAAATTGATCACCTATGGAACAGCCGTTTCTGATGCACAGCATTCAAACTCAGATCATAAAGATATCTTCAGATCGGAAATTTAGAACTTCAAAGATGGGATATCGCTTGTACTTAGTGGCATTGGAAAACAAAGGAATATAGATCACAATGAGGCACCAGGATCATCCAGAAAAAGACCTGCAACAAGTCGTATTCCAAAGTGTGATGTTCTTTAACAGGTTAGAATCCACAAAGACAAAGTTCAGTGGCAAAAACCATCAATCTGCTCCAAGCAACAGTAATAGCATAAACAAATAGGATTTCTGGCTGGAAAAGTGACACAAGTCACGTGTATACAAGCTGCTTCCACGACATATTCGTTCAACCATTGCATACCTTAAGTAGCTAGAGAATGAAACAGGTATTCATACTATTCCATACGAAGACATACAATTGGAATGTTGAAACAGGCGCTGGGAAACCGTTATCCTCGTACAGCAGATGGCTTATAGAAAGCAAGCGGTGAACAGAGGTGTGCTTTGAACATGACAACCTTACGACAGAGCCTTTTGCATTGGAAACTACACATTAGAGCCATCGTCAAGACGTACGGTCGTCAGATAGAGTATGACCGGACATGTCGACATGGACTGTAACGACGTGGTGAGGCTCCAAAATCGTTGAAATATAACATGCTCAATCTCTGTATATGTTATTTTAATCAGTTTATCTTAAGCCATATGTTATCTTATTGTGAAAATGTTAAGGTAACCGTATGATAAAATTGTTGGAGGAATTACAAGCATATACGTCATTGTTGTTTGTTTTGAATTTCGCGCAAAGCTACATGAGGGCTGTCTGCGCTAGCCGT